AAAGAAAAAAGAAAAAAATAGAAAAAGAGAGAGAGGCAGAGAGAGAGAAATTGCCTCCCGCCCAGCCCTCTCGGCGCTGCCGCTTCCCCCCGGGCCCCGCACCGAGGTCCCGCCCGAGGCGGCGGCCGCGGTTCGGTTCGGTTCGGTTCGGTTCGGTGGTGCCGCCCGCGCCGCTTCGGCCCCACGGCGCCACCTGGCGGCCGCGCCCGTGGCCCCGCGAGCTCGCGCCCGTCCTGCCGCGTGCGCGGGACAGCGGGCGGCGGGTCCCCGTGCGCGCACCGAGCCGAGGTGCGACGCGCATCACCTGCTGTGAGGTCCCTCTAGAGGTGGTGTTGACATTTATGCGCAGAAATAGCCTCGTCCTGCAAATAGTCACCTTAGGAAGAAAAAAACAGGAACAAGAACATACTGTTGGGGTTCATTCCATCACAAGTTAGTAATAGTGTATATTCACTAATGGCAAGCAGTGGAAAGCTTACTTGTGAAGCTTCAAAAGGGGTACAATGAAAATATAGTGTTCTGTAGTAGATGAAAGTATGTGCATTTCCTTTAGGAGAAACTTGTATGGGAAAAAGAAAAAAAAAAAAGATAAAAGAAAAATGGAGAAACCACAAGTGAAGCTTCAGATATAAGAGGTACAAAGACTAAGAACACCAAGCCAATGGGTATGTATCTTCACATCTATAGACAGAGATGCCCTCTAATTCCCTCCTATAATATCTACTGTCCTTCGTTCAGGATAATAGGAAAGCCCTAAAAAATGGTTAGGAAAATCCCATATGAGAACCATCCTCTTAGGATTTTTGACTTAGATATTTGTATCACCTGCTTTGCAACCAGCGTACAACCTCAGCTCTGACCTTCCAGAGGAAGGTTGATGAGAGCCGAATGCAGCGGGTCAAACCCTGCTCTGCGTGTCAGAGCTTGCAGAGCTGAGTGCTCAGGACCTGCAGCGCCTGCAAGCCCAGCGAACCAATAAACTCCAACACATCCATTTCATTCCACAAGAAGGCATGTGGGGATTGCACCACCATCTGATCCCTCTTCCTTAAATGCTTGAATTGCCACAATTAACATGAGAAAATGTTTGCAGAATAGGAAAGTTTTTGAGAAGCTGACATTATTCATCCAACATGTATTCCAGAAAAGTGTCAATTGCACTTTGTTATTCTTTTGTTTACTTCTCACCCCTTCACAAAGCTTAAATTCCCCATCAGAAGATGGAAACAATACCATGTTATTGAGGTTATGCTCATTCCCTCACAAGACAGCAATAGCATATAAAGAAATGAGCCTTTCAGCTAGCAATTATCTTTCATGTTAACCAGCAGATGTGGTGCTTTAGTTAACCATTTCATTTCACACTAGGAACTGAATGGGACTGCATGTACAGTTTTAAACACATTTCAATTAAGAGGAGTTAATTTCTGCCTGGGCTAATAGCTTAAACCACGTTAACACGATTTGCTCAATTCATGTGAAAGAATCTTGAAGTTACCTTTCCCTGACAAAATTATTTGGCAAAAGAACTAGTTTGCCAGCACCCCTTCAGACTGGCTACTTTACACACAACACATCCATAGACATTAGAAGGGCAAGAACAGTTTGGGAATACTTAGCATGCAGTAAGTGCTAAATCAAAACAATTTCCAGGGTTACTTAAAAAAAACCCAAAATCTAACGTCTTCCATCCACATTGAGAGTCTAATGAGTCTTCTGAGATGCCCTTCATGTTTTTCATGTGTTAAGGTCCACCATGAACCAAAACAGTTCTAACAATTCACAGAGCAATGAGTTGTCTCAATTCATTAATTAGTCCTACTAGACTGACGTGTCTTTTTGACTCCTATTTGGATTATGGCAGCTTTTCAATCCACATGTCCTTGCTCTCTGGAAAATACTGGCTTATGTTTAAACATCCACATTGCTAGGAGGCTAAGACAAACTGTATGCAGTGTTAATGCAAGATGTGAAAAATTAACATAAATTAATAATGTATTGATGAACCATTCATTCATGATTTATTAATTGATACCATTACATTCCTCTAAAGCCTGCACTTGGCTAGTATAGATGCTATCCCTTCAGTCATTTTCTACACAAAGCTATGAAAAAAAAAAATTGAAAAGAAATTTCAGCTTTCCTATACTGGAGGATTGAATGAATATGCTGTATTGCCACAGTGTCTTTGCTCTGAATAAAAGATCTGTCTGCTTGTACCAAGTTGTGAGCTTCCTGGTAGCATCAGTGTTTCTGCTACTAAATCAAACGTTGTTCTCATAATGGCATCCACTGGAACAGAAGGCATCAAGGCTAAATGTGTGCTGCAGGCCCAACACAGATCCAGGGAAATCAATGGCAATTTTCTAGTACCTTCAATATGAGTAATATCAGTCCTTGAAAATATACATGCTTATTGAAAGAGTCCATGGCTCCACTTTGTCCCTTGCAGCATCAAGCATATTCAAAGTGTTGAAGAGTTGCATAAAATTGGAGTCTTTTATTTACTTATTTTTAAAATTCCTCAGAAAAACTAGAATGCTACTACAACCACTTTAATTTTTGCAACAGTTCTTCAGGAATAATTAATCATGTGTTTTTCCAATTGCTTTTGTAAATCAGAAATTAAGTCTGAAATCCTATAATACTATGCATATCAATAAAACTCTCTGAAGCCTAAACATCTTAAGATAATTCAATATTTATTCTTCTGAGGTAGATAATTTTAAGTTATTGCAATCAAAATGTGTAAGTCTTACAACACCAGAACCACATCCAACTTCCACATGCTCATCCACTCCTTAAAGATCACCCAGCTGGGCTGGAAATAAATTCCATTTTACTTTTAAAAATACATTCTATTTTTAACATCAACACTTTTGATAGAAAAAGGACAGTCTGATGGAGATAGGCTTTCTCACTATAAATCAGAAGCTGCAATCAGCATGAATATCATTTTAAGATATTATTTTGCATTTTCATTCGAGGCATATGTCTTAGATTAATAGCACTTTTTCAGACTGCCATGCAGAGTTTGCAGTAAAAAAAAAATGATTACATTCCTTTGCCCTATAAAGCTTCCCTTAGGGCATTTTAGTAGTTTAGAGCCGGTAGTTAGCAATTCTGTGATTACAGCTTTTGTATTAAAATGCTTCTGATGGCACTTGCAGGGTGACCTTACAGTTCTTGATTTTAAAGCATACCCTGTTGTTATGCTAATATTTGTAAATTGCAGCTTGTTTACACTGAAATTTTGGATGCTTGAATATGACCTAAGAGTTAAGAAGTGAGATATTAGAAATGTAACTTGTATCTTTAAGACTGTGTCCATTTTAAGAGTGAAAGATGATGGGTTAAAATAAACCCTTCTTTAGAAATTGAGAGGTCCTCTGCATGCAGCATCTATTTTTGCTTCTTTCTCAAGACTGTCCCTTTTTGTTTGTATTTTAGGGAATGCGTGCATTGGGAATACTCAATAAGGAAGCAGGAGGCCAGAACCCTAAAATATACAGTGATAGTTTTCTAGTCACTCTTCAAACATAAGTACTTGCTGTCCTCAAGTAAGGTCAGATCCTGTTTAAAAGAACTGATTCCCGTTTCATCCCTGATAAATTTAGAGATAACTGCTTCAGTTCTCCAAAGGTTTTACTAAGAGTCTGTTAAAGAGTTATGGAGGGTTTTTTATTTGTTTGTTTTATTTTATCTATTTATTTAAAAAAAAAAAGGTTTATCACGAGCAGCAGTGAATCTAATTGGCATCCTCTGGCAAATTCCCAGAGCAGACAGAGATCTGGAACTGATCTCAGCATAGATCAAAGCTACATTTGCGTTGCAAAAGTTACGACCTGTGGCCAGGCAGTGGTTTAGGTTGGTTTTCTAAATGGCCCTCCCAACAACTCCTCCTTCCTCAGCAGCCCTCATTCTTATCTACAAATCACAAATTTAAATACAAACACACTTGAAAAAAGTTTCTGCACCAATCCCCATACACACCATCCACACACGACCCTTTGTGAGGACTAATCGGGCCCCAGCCTCACCTCAGACAGGGTAATGGGGCACGGGATAGACTCATAATCAAGGGACTGCACAGATCAAACCTCATGGTTAGATGAGGAAAGCATCTACTCCCAAGAAGTTTTGTAACAGGGAGGACAGCACCCTTCAATAAGATTTATAAAAGGCTGCCCAGCAGCTGCTGGGCATTACATCAACATGAACCCAGCCCAGCTATAGCCAGTTGCTCAAAATGAGGCCTGCTGTTTACTCACCCTCATTTCATGAGAGGGAAAAAAAGTGCATAATCCCAGCTAAGTTACAGTGCAGGCTTTGAACCCAACTAAACTTCTGCTGTAAATACAAGTGTTTGCTGGTCTTATTCACTTCTGCTATTTCTTACCAGCATATTTCACAAAGGATTAAAGCAATCAAAGTCTCCTGAAAGCAACAAA